GGGTTTTCCCAAATTTTTTGTGGGCCCATGACCCAAACTTCTTGAAAAAAGAAGGGCATGAGTTACGCGCCCGAAAAAATTTTTTGCCAAGGTAAATTGAATTTTTAAAAAAATGTCAAAGATTATTTTAACTATCTAGAAGTTTAAAGAAGTTATCTGCATAATTTTATAACGCTGTAAGTGACTTTCAAAAATTTCGCGACCCCTTCGGTACGCCACTGGTTTAGGATGCTAGAGCAGCGCCGTCATTCGTATCTCCTGCAAAGAGCAATTGCATTGCCCATGATCGGATGCACGTATCCCACTCTAGATGCCAATGTTTTGTTACATGCTTGGGAAAATCTTCACCAAATGCTTTACTTGATAGTAAGAAGGAAACTATGAAACGCAGAAAGCGCTTGTCCAGATGATCGTCCGAGCAACATGCGGTGACGCGCAATATGGATTGTGTCTGTAACCACACAGATTGAGATAAAAAGTGGCTCAACCGTGTTCTTTCATTTTTTACATCGCTGAATACTTCTTCTATAGCACGATTTCGATGGAGATCTATCACTCTCAAGAATGGGCCAGGGATGAGAAGTATTCGTCGTTTTGGGCTCACTACATGGCCGTTGAGAAGTGGCGAAAAGATCATGCAAAAATGGCCGAGGTTGCTTGTCGAGTGGTTCGTGGCAAAACAAAACCCTATCAGAGAAGGAGGACAGGTAAGTAATCCACTCTGTATAATTCGTTTCATTCATACTCCAAACTTTATTTCACGTTGTCTTTTGCATCTGAAGAGCAAAATTCTTGTTGAATTTGGGAACCTTGAAAACTCTACTGTATTCAAGTTCCGTGTATTGAATCTGAAGTACGCTTTTGTTTTGAGGATCTCATCATGTTTCCAAAAGCAGTCCGGTAAAGAGCATGCCTACGAAAACGGACGCCGAATCAGCTGCAACAGAAAATGACGATGTAGTGCATGAAAATATTCCGAGGACATCAGGTGCAAATTCCTTGTTTCTCATCTTTTTTGATCGTGCACCATGTCGGAGTCTGTTCATAAACGTGTGAGCTTTCAGCGCCTGTTGAAGAAGAAGAGATGTCAGAAGAAATGGTTGCATTCTTTAGGAAAACGATAGCACATCGAAAATCTCGTGAGTTGATTGTGCAACTCTACTAGTTTCTTATCTAGTTTAGT